ATTTTGGAGAGTCCGTTTTTCTAAGTCTAAAAATGAATTAAGAAAAAGAAACTCCATCTCACCTTCATTATTTATTATCAGTGTTGCGAACCTGTATATAATGTTGGACAATAACTATAGAGAACCTCATAATATTCTCCGGTGGAAGGAGGAGAACCATCAAATTAGTGATGAATATCTTGGCCGCCGATGAGGCTATATCTGGACAGTTAGTAAACAAGACAAAGAGTTACTTCTTATTGGATCCTGGTACTTTAGACAGTAAGGGTGTCAGTATTGCTGGATGGATTGGAAGGAAACAATAAATCTTCCTAATTAAGTATTTAAGTTGTCCATTTTTTTGTTGAAAGACAAAGGATCGCATACTACTCAGAGATGATTAGCAAATAAGTAGAAGGATAAGAGGTTGGCCCTCAAGATTGTTATCTCGAGGAGGTAATACTAGCTTGATTAGACATATCCTTCTTGCCTTTCTTGTGCATTTGATATCAACCTTGCGACCTTCTAAGGGTGTTCTAGTTCAAATTGAGAATTTTCTTGCCAAGTTTTTCTGGATTTATGGCACCAATAGACACCACTAGGCTTCATGATCTAATTTCTGTTATCCATACGAAGAGGGAGTGCTAATTTCAAGAGTTTACATGATACTTGTAAAACATTCTCTTCCTAGTTCCTACATATGGTGAATCTTAAAGAACTGGTAATTCTTTGTGGATACTCAGTTATCAAAGTAGTTATATTTCTGGTGGAATCTGAGAGTTATGAACACAATGGCTTCTTTTATAACCAAGGTGTTGTCCCAAGTTGTAATGTGGGAATTGTAGAGGTCTAAGATGCAGTAAATACGGATCTGAGCTCCCTTCTATTATCCAAAGATCTACAACTATGATTTCCTTCAATCTCTTGGTATATAGTTAAACAGATACTTGGCCAGCTATAGGTGAAAACAGCATGGAAAAGCTACAACACATTATTGATCATCTTATTAATCACAGAATGCGCAAAATGGTTAAATGGACCAAACCTCCTCCTTTGTACTTAATAGTGGCAAAATGGTTAAAAGAAAATAGTTATCCACCCATATTATCCATTAAAGAATGGGATGGATAATGAACTTTTTAAAAACGGATCAAATATGGATAAGAACCATATTATCCACTTAGAAAACGGATAACCAAGTGGATAACTAATGAGTTTAACATTTACATTTGTAAAGCCTCAAATTGGGGGTTCCTCAAGTTTGAGAGACTTGTAATTCTCCCAAAAGTGATCGTATTTAAAAAAACATGGATAATATGATTATCCATATTATCCGTCGGTTAACCCATTTTTTATCCATATTAAATATGGGTCGGGTTGGATAATTTACCCATTTTTTGTATTACCCGTTTTCGATCCATCCATATCCTACCCGACCTGTCCGTTTGCCACCCTCATTTGTACTACAAGCAAAACAGTAGAAAGATCTTGTGGGGGTAGGGATTGCAATGGAACCTTTATCATTGTATACTCATTCTGCTTAGGCTTAGGGACTAGCAGTTGGGCAGGACAAGTCATGTTCTTGGGGTTACATTTAGGGGTGGCAAATGGACGGGTTGGGCTAAATTTAGGCGGGTCAAGATGAGTTAGGTCAATAAATAGGTCATTGTCCAACCCAGCCCAAAGTATACTTGGGCTAAGATGGGTTGGGTCACGATGAGCTAAACAATGGGTCATAACCCGACCCGTTCAACTTGACCCGTGTTTTAGAAACATGCTCATCTTGCATAAAAAAATTCTTTACCTTAAAATGTGTAAGTTGAAAAAAATTTTGCGGGTGGGGGTGGGGGATA